CTGCTATTTTGTTTTTTTACAAAACTTTAGTAATTTAAATATAAATATCAATCATAAATCTTGATACATGTATATGTCGTACCTCAATTGAAATCTGCCCAACATAGAAAAATCGTATAACTATAAATTGACCGATTCTTGAAGTAAAAAATGATTTGTATTGTTCATACTAGAGATGTGAACCGTTATTCATTGGACACTAAATTAATAGTAAATCCAATGGTATCTATTGGATTTACATTATTTAGATATCCATTGAATAACAGTTCACATCTCTCATGCATAGAACAATCCGATTGTTGAATCAAGATTAATAAAGTTACTCAAGAGACTATTATAAAATTCAAAAAAACAAGACTTGTAAAGCCACCTACCTACCTGACAATTCAAACTAGACTTGGCAAAGCTATCCTTAATTAAGAGATTACTATAATAATACTACAAAATGCATGATGATAAAAAGTAATAAAATTTATACATTCATTGAGTACTAAATTTCAATATTATATGTGGGCTCTGGTTCGGGTATAAATATGAATTATGGTCTCATACAATTGTTTATGACTTAAAATAGCTTCATAATTAAATTCGTGTCCTGTTAAATTGTATAGAATGATTAGAGATATTAATCTTGCAAACCACTATTTCTAAAAATGCTTTATACTTATACACTTATGCTAATGAAATTAGTTAATAAATATTAATTAATTGACTTCTAAAATGAAATAATTCTATGAATAAATTTTATACTTACATTAAGAAAAACAGCCTTAATTCTTACCACGAAGTTAATAACAAATCATTATTTACAAATTAAAATTGCATATTTATTTAATTTTTTTTTTCTTAGTACAAAACAACTAAGCCAAAAAAAATTCCCAAAAGAAAAAAAGGATCATGATGTTTTAAGACATAAATTGCATCAATTATTTTGAATCATCTTGAATTTTCATCAGATTTTTTATAGATGAGGGTGTTGAAAATTCGAAATCAAATAAAATTGGCAAGTTTCTATTTTCCCATGGCATCATCTGCAGGATGTTTCAAACCTATTAATAATTCGTTGAAAGATAAATCTTCTGTTTTCTCTGTTTTTTCCAATTCATCCGTTCCAAACAAATTTTCATGTTCTTCTATGCTTTCTTCTTCAGAAATAAGACCCTCAGACCATTCTTTAAGAACTGCTTTCCATTCTTCACTAATATCTTCATCTACACTTGATTCGGAATCATCTTCAATAATCATTTCTTCATTTTCGTCAGTTTCTAGTTCTATAATGTCAGAACTTTCTAAATCTATAACGTTAGAACTTTCTAAATCTATAACATCAGAACTTTTTTGTTCAATATTGCGAGAATTTGGTTGTTTGTGTCAACGATCATCAGAACCATATATAATATTTATGTTTGCTAATATATTTTCTCTAGAGATTTTGCTGCTTTAATTGTACGTTTATACTTAATTTCGGCTCGCATTTGTGCCATTGAAAAAACTTTATCAAGCTAAGAATAAAAAATTTCGTTAAAAATATTAATATTATTCAATTTTAAAATATATATATTAATATGAATTTTTTTTACTGGTAATCTGGTGCGTTGTGAGTTGTGAAAAAAGCCCATTGTTGAAAATAGATGCTCACATGATGCAGAATTAATATAAATTGAGAATAAACGGATTGCAAGCATGCCTAATTCTTTTGTAGCACCTACAGAAAAATCCCAATACTCCTAAATGTTGGCAAAGTTAGAAGCCGTTTCATCATCAAATGGATATTCTTTTGCTATAAATTTTGAAAATTCTGATAATATAATGACTGGTTTGGTTTTAAACCATGCTTTGTAGTAATACTGTATCCATAAGCCAACCCGAGGTAAGTTTAGTGAAGAATGACTATTAAAAACTTTGCTATGATATGCTGGGTGAAGAAAAAAAGAAAGAAGCAACAAAGGTTGTTCCCATTGACTCCACCGTGTTTCTAAACGCTAAACCATATTTTTACTAAAACTATCTGACTTATTTTTATATAATTGCATAAAATATGCAAATGAATGAAGAACATCTGGTAACCGTGCAGCATCCCGTTGAAGATGATTTAATGTTGCCATAAAGGAAAGCATACGTGACTCAAGTTCTTCTATTGTTTGCCACCAATTATTGTCATCTAGAAATTTTGCAATATTTTCTGGTAAATCTTGATATTGTAAATAAAGAACCTATTAATTTATTAATTTTTTAGCATTAGTATAAAATTATAAATAAAGTTTAAGAAAACATAGTATATACATACTTTTAAGGCTCTTTTATTGCAAATTAATGAGAAAAAACAAAAATAGTAGCTGTTCCAGTGAGTATTTATAGGTCTTACAAGACAATAGTATTTTCCATATAATTTTTTTTGCTCTTCACGCAATTTACCGATCCAGTGAGAATGTCTACTATCAGTAAAATATGCAACAATACTAATGGCTTTTGTTGATGCATCTTTATATTTAATTGATGATTTAAAAATATTAGCTATACAAATATTTGCCTGATGAGCGAAGCATGGGATAAAAACCTGATCGGTATATTCTAGTTGTATTCGACGTCTAAATAAAAATTAAATAATTATTTTTATTTATATACATATATTTAATATGATTTTAATTATATTTACCTTGCTGCTGCATATGCAGAAGCACTGTCCGTAACAATAGCAATGATTTTAATACCTTCCATTTCGGCTCATGTAAAAAAATTTTTAATTATTTCTATAACATTATTTGTTTTACTACCTTTTACTGAAATATCTTCTGCACCTCAAACTAAAACTTTTCCTTTACTAGTAATTAAAATGCTTCTTAAAATTTCTTGAAAACTAGCATTTTTCTAACCATCAAATATAAGAGTATTACCAGTTTCATGTTTTTTAGCTTCTACAATATGTTGGCGTTGCAATTCTTCACTCAGCGACCAGGTAGTTTTAGATTTGGATTTAGAAATTTGAAAAGTGCAACAATCTCAGGATCTTCAGTCCATCTAAATGCCCATCCATTACTAATTGTAGACTTTAAGATATGTCATTCAAAAACTACATACTCAGCTGAATTTAAGTCTCGAATAAGATGATTATTCATTAAATTTTTTGATGGTTGTAATTTTGTATGACATATAGAATGGTTTTTGGTTGTTTTAGTAGTTGGTTCAGAAGAAGTAGAAATAAAACTTGAACTTGTAGATAAACTTGAATTTGCAGATAAAACTGTATTTGTTTCTTGACTTTCATTATCTGATCCATAAAGAATTTCATTTCTTTCTTCTTCAGTATATTTTTCAAAAAAATTTAGACATTTCTTTAAATGTACTTTAGTGCAAGCTTTTGTATTAGTAAAAATAGATCTTTCAGGTGCTACTTCTCTTCCTAATTTGTCGATGCAAGCTTTACAAACAGCAGCTTTGTTAACTTTATTTACATGAGTTTGTAAAACTTCTACATATGGAGTAAGTCTATAGGGAGGTTTACTGCCAAAATGTTTCATAGTAAAGATATTCAACGAACTAGAGATTAAGTTTGTAATACAAACATTATTTATTTATAAAACTGGTTTTTAAATTTTC